ATCCATTTTTGTTTACCTTTCATGTTCTTTTGACTGCAAGGGTACGTTCCTCTCGATTACAACATTAAAGTATGGTTTTATCACACTAAAATGCAGTTTCAACTATATACCGGGCAGACAGAACAATTTTCAAAATGTTTGGCGGGGGGGTGCGAGATCACCGGGGGGTGCGAAAACACTAGTTTGGGGGGTGCGAAAACACTAGCTTGGGGGGTGCGAGATCGCTAGCGATTTCGCCCCGGGGGGTTCGAGATCGCTAGTGATCTCGCCCCGGGGGGGTGCAAAATCAGGGGGTGCGAGATCTCCGTCACACCGGTCCACTACTCCACGTTCACTATGGTACGTTGATGTACACTTCTGTAAAGACAATTACTAGTACGTACATATACATGAATGACAAATAGACAAGCATTTATGTTTACCGAAAGAAAATATATTGTTTTTGCTTAGTTTCTTCTTTCCAAACACTATAGTATAAAATCAATGACCAGGACCAGACATCTCTCACCATGGTAACTGGTGTTAGGTTACATAATGTTGCATTAGTGCCATGTAGAACTTCACACTTCATTAGGGTCTGCATCGTCACCATATATATGAATGTGTTTGAGTAAGAATAAAGAACAAAGCAGTAGTTTGTTAAGCTGGGCCATTTGAATGTAAACATAATGCATTTCTACCTTTCTAGTTACGTGTTTTTATTGCTTCACTAGTACCTCGACTTAAACTGACCATGCACCACTATCACACTAAGAACAAGCCTTGGAGCAAAGTTTCGTCTCTTGTCTCATGATAATGTCTCGATGACTTAAAATGCCCTTGTTACTTTCTCAGATCTATTTCTACTTGGGACACTTGACTCTATCCTACGGTGTGGCCTTCCTGGTGTCTGTGGCAGTGGAAGCACCGTTACTGGGACTGGAGAAAATCATCTTCAACAAATGAGACAGAACTTTACCACAGTCAACACAAGAGACATTTTATGCACGAAGGATGGGCAACCTAATAGTTATCACTCTTTGAATATTTTATGGCTATAACTCAACTAGGTTTCGTAAGGATTTAACATATTAAGAAAATGCATGTACAATGTATGTTATCTATGACAAGTGGAAAATAAACAGATAACTTGCAATAAACACCTAATTTGCATAATTAATGCAAAATCCTACCAATCCTTATTGGTGAATGATGGGCATTTCATACATGTGTAATTTAGATAAAGGTTAACATCAATATGCATATATTATGTTAATGTAGAGTGCATTGCATAATTGCTGATAAAATGTTGGGACAAACCTTGCCATAGAATTTTGCACATAAGTGTATGAATGTAATTTGAGTAGAAAAAAACATATATAGAATAGATTATGCTAATTGTAATCATCACATTTCCATGACCGTGAGAAAGTCCCAAAACAAAATGCTGTTCACTAAGGATACCTCCTATTAACACATTTTATGGCTGAAATGTAAATTTATAGTCAGAACCTTTGTTCTAAATATGTTCTACTTAAAAATATGCGACTCTAGTACTTGTACGGGAGTGGCTGATAATGTTAAAGTTGATTTATTTCTTGTTTTCCGTTCTTTGCATAGTGGTGACGTTGATGATGTTCTCTCAAAATGTCAAAGCATGCAGTCGATAGACCGGTACTCTCTGCAGGGCCCTCTAGCGAAAAAAATCAGTATTGCATTGATCAATTGACAGATATACGTAACATTGCACTGAGCTGAGTGGAATAAGACTGTGTGTAATAATAATCCCTTCTCTTCGTTCTTTAATGATATTCTATGTAGTGGCATCCAGTTTCCTTTAAATATAACGTGCATCCTGTAAATTGTAGTGCGTGCGTACTGCGTATGTAAACCTGTGAAGTTTGCGATGGACTCAGACTGTTTCAATAAACTTTCAAGTCGAAGATAAATCGGAATCAAATAGATGTACACGTATAAAGATAGTCTCAAAAGACACTTGAATGATTCCCAATTGTATTTTCTCTCTTCATAATGTCACTTCATATTATATCTTGCCCAAGGAGGTTATATCGGATTTGCTATACGTGCATGTACGGTCAGTGTGTTGTGAGTTACTTTAAATTGGCCAAAAATACCCTCGCTGGGCCTCTCACACAGGCGGGCGCTTGCAGTGAAAGAAGAAGGCTGTACAAAACCAAGTGGCCTTCTTTATAATTTTTCAGATGCTCCTGGGCTACCGCACGTGCATTCGGAAAGGTAGAATTTTGAATTTGGCCGCGCGTGTCCCGATGACAGTTCTGGGCGGGCAAATCCCACACCCTGTATTTCACTCAAGCTGACAGACGGTCGGGCCTGTCCTTTTTCTCACCCATACAGCGACGCCCCCTAGGTGACCACAAGACCCCTATGGTCACACTTTTCTCAGCGTGATGATTAGATACTAGTAGGCCCGTGCAGTTTCTGAAGCACGGGAATCGGTGTCAGGTATTGAAACAGACATTTCAATGAAAAGTGGCCATGAAATGTCATGGCAGACATCAGTGGTTACAAAACAATTTTGATTAAAGTCAATTTGAACTCTCAAAAAGCTCATCTAGTGAGATCAAAACATATTATAAAAGAGAGTTTCCGTAGCGGGAAATACGTATTAAAATACTCGCTGCCTCCGAAAAAAAACCCAGTTTCGTTGAAATATCTAAAATGATGAAATATTGATAATCATAGATGATAGGCTGGTTGGATATCATAATGAAAATGGAAAGAAAACAAGATTATTCACGTGGCCCCACTACACTTTAATAGTGACTACAATATTGAGTATGACGTTATAGATTGATCCCGTTGATACTATGTTTTCACAATTTTATCATGACCCATAAAATTATCGATTAGTTGATTTAATTTGATAAATATCGATATGATGATGAATATCGTTTATTGTGCCATTGTGTCCACGTCTGCCTCTTCACACATTAGTGCTAAATACGTAACCTGAATATTGTCTTTCGTTTTGGAAAAATCTCAGGTTCAACTTACTCGTCTAACTGCATATGCTCTGCCTAGAATTTGAAACGGTGAGATTTTGTATTTGTTGAAGGCCATTAATCAAGCACCAGGCTATCTTCTTAGAGGGTCTCTGTTTTACCGCTTCGAAGCTGGACGTCGTAATATCAAATGACGTCATTGAGTAAACTTGTCAGCTGTCTGAAATTGAGCCAATCAGCGGTCAGAATTTTGACCCTACGCTATCGAGCGCCATGGCGATTTGCATATCAGACATCAAAATCTAGTCTTTTGAAGCTATTTATGCCACTAAGTTACAATACAGTGGGTTTTTACTGCTCTCTTTATCCGAATGCAGATGATTTCTGGTGTCCTTTGAAGAAAAGGCTGTATCATTTTCTCACAAACGTGAAATATTGGCCCACGTATTAGAGCTGTCAATCATCGTGCTGGGCGTGGCTAGCGTGCAGCTCTGTGACCCGTGCGAGGTTGAGTGGCAGCTCGGGCTGGACCGTGCGACGATCAACCCTGCCTCCGTCCCCGGCGAGCTGTCCGTCAAACTCCGAATAAAAACACTCCATTTGTGGCGGTGCATCGGGGTTTTACTGCACGGCTGAACGGCGCCGAGTCCCGTAGTAAGTCCTCGCGGACCAACGTCGTTTGAAACCCGAGGACAAACCGACAAGGATCGTGGCGGGTAGCGAGGAATTTCGTGAATTTTTTTCGAAGCGCGGAGCTCTATCCAACATGGAGGATCAGAGGTACCAGCACCCGGTAGCGTCCGTGGCTAGCGCGATGCCTCAGACCGGCACGACTCTGGGCCAACACCCCGGGGGGATGCCGCCTCACATGCAAGGGATGGGCGACAACAGGCCCCCACCGGACGGGCAACAACAACCCGAGGGGGAGGGGAGGAAGCAGGACATCGGCGACATCCTGCAGCAAATCATGACTATCACCGACCAGAGTTTGGACGAGGCGCAAGCAAGGTTGCCCGAGTAAAAAATGTCAAAGTTTTCCTCGCAAATTTCTTGTAGCAGACTATCTCTTTCTTGTAGAAGTTCTTTCTCTCTCTTATTGTGATTTGTTGATATTTTGCTTTGTTGTGTTTTTGCAAGTTCTCCGATCCCGATTATCTTAGTCGTCTTGTTTTTTCTTTCTTTCTCAGGAAGCACACGCTGAACTGTCACAGAATGAAGCCTGCACTCTTCAGCGTTCTCTGCGAAATCAAAGAGAAGACCGGTAAGTTTTCTTCTCCCTTTCTCTTGTTTATTTTATGTGTAGGACGTTTACCAAAGTATTTGAGTGTTACACGCTTTGTTGTTGTTCTTGGGATTCGAACCCGGGACTCCCGTCCTGTCCTGCCCATGCCCAGCGCGATCGCCGTACCCAGACCCAGTCGCAGGTTCCAAACTTTCCCTCCAATTCCAGGCCGGCCAATGCACGGGGCGCTCCGCCGGGCCATCTATCTATTTTGTCGGCAGACGCTAGAAATGTGAAGAATGATGAATAATTACCGCTGAAAAAATGTCCGCTGACACCAGCAATCGACATAAATTTTCGAAACTGACGGCCGACTGACGCCAATTTTCCGCCCTCTGGCCTAATGATCGTGTCAAAAAAATCTTCGTCCAGTTTTTCTCGGATTCAAACCACAATCAGTTTCCACAACAAGCGCGTCCGTCCATCGCTCCTAACCAGTCATTGTCTACCCTGATTTACTGTGGGATAATCGAGATGTGTTTTAAAACCCGTGCTTGGCAATTAAGATCTATTTTGTCCAGACAAATATGGCCCATAAAATGAAATATTATCACTTAAGTATTTGGGTGAAGGCCGCGCGAGCCTATCGTAAAATACTGGTCAAGCAGGAGTAGTATTGGCACCTTTTGAACCCTTCGTCTACTCCCATTCGTTTTATGTGGAGAAGAGTTTTTATGAATCTTTGAAGTTCAATGATGTTATTTTCTTTGATGTGAGCACTTGATCACATGTGAACTCTGGTCCCAAAATGACTCAGCAATGCCGCTCCTTATGTTACCTTTGTGCAGTTGATTGCTAGATTCTTACAATGAAAGGGAAAGTGATATGGATTTTCTGGTTGTCTAAAGTATGTTGATATTACATTGTTTTTATTCCTAAAGTAAGCAATGTTTCCTATTAGTTTCTATTTGTTCTTATCCATTGCGAAACATTACTTACATGTTGTCATTTCTACCCAGTTAAAAATCACTTTTCCATTCATGAGAAGATATTGGCTGGGACATTTCCCTTTCATTGAGCAATCAAGACTGTTCATGATTATGACATACTTATTTCCTGTCAAACACATTTTATGTATACTTAGAAGTTAAACTGTGGTGTCATTATTTCTAATGTTGTGATCATTGCATTGATTTTCAGCATTTAGTACACAAGGATGCCATGTTATACTATTACTATTTGTACCCCCAAATTTCCTATACACTAATGTTCTTTCTAGACTAACATGTTTAAGATTTTTAGCATTGTATGGAGCCAGACTGTACTTGACATTCGTTTTGTTAATCCCTGAACCAGCCTTGTACAGTCAAGGTTTTTGAAGGAAGGTGACAACTGGGAGGTTCATATGTACCCTGACATTGTTTGGCAGTTCTGGTGACCAAACTGTCATCCCTGGCCAGTTAAAGAAAGACTAACCACTGTTCTGATTGACAGGGTCATACCTTCCTGTCCATGGTATTCAACAAGCCAATGGCAAAGTCAGTTGGTCAACTGTAAAGCATTGACGGTCATGTTTAAGGCTGGTTGTGTCATTGCCATGTATTTGTTTCTATGAACAAATCCTGTGGTTATTGGATAATTACAACAAGGTTGGCGTTTGGGTCATAGCATGACATGTGCTGCAGCATGTGAGTGGTTTTAACACTTTGTCCTTTCTGTTGTTTCATTTTTACGGGTGAAAGTAATTACGTCGTTAGCTGGATTGCTGGTTTGTTTGTACTTAAAACAACTGCGCTGTTGTGGTATTCCCAAAACAAGAGAAGGCAGGTTTTAAGATACAGAAACGTGGCGTTGGTAAAAAGAACTGTGAGTGGAATACCAAAAGAAGAGAAGTCAGCGAAATTCCCGGACGTGATCTTGGTAGGAGTACCATGTCCATATGATATGCTGGTACCAGTGGGTAAGAAATACCGCTTAAATAACCGGTCAGGCTTGTCTGTGATCAGGGCTACGTGGTGAGGTTGTGGCCAAGTCTCCAGCATACCAAAGCACAGGATCTTTCAGCCAGGGTGCAGCCTGAGATGTTGACAGGGGTCGGCAGAATTTCATCACCTGGTAGTCTTGATGTGGCCTCCCCTGTTCCTGGGATAGAAGCAGCGCATATGATTGACAAGGGGGTGCCTTCCTCCTATCCAGATAATAGCGGCCCACTCAAAAGGATGAGTCCATTCAATTTGGGGATATTGGATGCATTGCTTAAGGGGACTGCTGCACTCTCGGTGAACCCTTTTACCAATTACTGAAAGACTACCCAGAAAATGCCACGCCACACATGCTGTTATTATGCCGTACATGAACTAAGCTTAGCCGTGCTGACTTTGCTTGTCCAAAGCTAAGTTACAATGTGTGAAAATATAAATGGTCATGTACGTACAGGCCAGGTTATGCTGAATCAGATACAGGCATATTTTACTTCAATATCTTTATGTGGACAGCCTATCAATAATGTTTCATAGGGGCGAATCAAAATTTGGGAATGAATGGGCAAATAAGCCATCCAGAAGACATTAGAGGTGTCAGTGTGTGATAGGTAATGGGTATGAATGGTGCAGACCAGTTCATTTAGACTCCATTTCAGTTGCCAAGGTAGATTTATTCCAGCTCAGAGTAATCCTGGACAGTTTGGTTTTCATGCATAATTAGACAGCGATCACGCCACTGAATACTTGATAACTACGTGTGTCTGCTGTATGTGTGTGTGTGTGTATGTATAGAAGAAACAACAACATTCTTCTGGTTCTACTATCAAAATTCACATATCAGTCACAGAGATTGTTGGGTCCGTGGCATGAATTAGTGAATATGGACAGTGCTGACAAAACAGAACAAAGCAAAATAGTGATCCAGTTATCTCATACCTAAATCTAAAAAAAAAACTGATTTGGTAAGCATTGTCCTGACAATATTGATGATTTGAAAATGCTCACTGGCCTTGTTCTACATAGGAATCATATGGCATAACAAAATGCTTAACCTACCTACAAAAACTGAATCACTACATGACATTCAAACAAGCCTGGAAGAAATTAATGCTGTGTTTGGGGGGGGGGACTTTTTTTGTTTAAAAATATTTGAATAATTCTGCTGTGACATTGAACCATGACAGATACATCTGGAGAAAAAAATTGTCACAAAAACAGTTAAAACTAAGCAGGTAAATAGCTCTACAGTGTAGAATATGGCAAATATTTGACAAATGTAACCCAGGCTAGAAAAGGAAGATTTAATCTCTGTCCACATGTCAGTTACATGCTAGACAGATAACAATCCTGTGTAAGAAATACATGTACTAGTGTGGGAAAAATCTGTCAATGGTGGCTGGGAATATGAATTACAACATCACAGCGGGAGGGTGTGGTTAAGGCAATTGTCACCTAGGTGTGATTCCCCTTCCCTCTGTTTATCGTAGATGTGTGAAAGCCTCTACAAGGGGATGGCCAGCTTTGAGCTGATTTTCTGCCACGGTTTGGCATTGGAGGGCAGAATTTTGTGTGGATAATTGTCGCGCTGAAAGGTATTAGCTGTTCTCAAGGCTGTGTGACATCCTTTGTCATGTTCAACCATTTCATATGCATTTATTCCAGAGAAAGGAAAAGACATCTGTGGTTTAGCTTGTATTTGTAAAAATTGTGCCATGCTGTAGAACCTATACACTGCACAGAGAGTAGATAGTAGCTGTGTGATCTGTATACTTAATGAGCTTGACCATAACATCTTTAGACATGAGAGAATTGATTCCTTCAGACATCTTTATTATTCCCCTAGTGTACTCTACTGGTCAATTAATGGCCAGACAGTGCTATAACCTATCCCAACCCTGTGATATCTCTGCTATTGGCAAATTGCTATGTCTATTAGCCCATCCCAGACAAAACAAGGAAAATGACTCATATCTTTCCCTAACATGTATCTCCATTTTATTATGTGTAAGTTGTAGTGGGATGTATGTAATTTGTGAAACATCACCAGCTTTGTACGAAACATCAGTATGAAACTATAAATACAGCGAATGTGTGTATCCACTGGAATCATGTACGGGTCATTTCTGATGCAGTGGTGAATTCAATATGGTGGCGGCCGCCAGCATTGATCAGAACATTTCCATTGTGACTGCTTGATGTTTTAGTCATGTTTGAAACCTTGATAGAACAAAATCCTCCTTGATGGACTGTATAATTTCTGCATTTTGTATGTCAGTCGTGTATAGAATTTTTTGGGTAAAGCACAAGGACTTGTAGGCCATGGAAACACGATAGACAAATGTTGAAGCTTGTACTATTTTGCCTGCCGGCATTTTTGATTCTATGGTACCAGGAAACTGTGTGGCTCATTCATTGTACGGTTGTAACAGTTAGTACCTGAAAAGCTGGCCCTTAGGCATTTTCTTTCTACATACAAAATAAGGGACTGGGTAAAATGGAGAAGATGGTAGCATTCACAGAAATTTAGCTCAACTGGTGGCGGATGAAATTTCGCTGTTGTAATGCATTTGCTGTTCGGTCACCAACTGTCAAACCTTGCTATGTTGGGCGTAAATTTCCCCCAGAATACCGGCATTTTTTGCAGCCGTAGTTGTGAACAGGAGAGCCCTCTGGATATCCCACACCCCACCAGGATGTGTGCTGAAGCCACGCTTCAAGAACGTCCCGCCGAGTCTCCCCAAATTTGCTTAACCTACTGAAGGAAAAAAACGGCATCAAACTTGTTATTTTCCTGCGCTGGGATATTCGTGCCCGACGTTTCAGAAAAGCAGCGGTCAGATCGAGCCGTGCGGCTGGTACAGTGAGAGAACATACATCCTATCTGAGCTGGTACTCCATGCTAATTACGCCTGGGGTTTGGTGCAGGAGTTTTTCAGGCATCCATCCATCATGTCGGACAGCCTGCCCCCAGGGAACCAGGTGGCTGCTGGCACAGAGTACCTTATCGCTTTTTCCCTCCCGCTCCAGAATTCCTGCATGAGAAGAGCCTTTTACCTG